TATTGGGCCTCAATCTGCATGTGAATCAAGGAGTTGCATGCTCCACCTGGCTCTTGCCTGTGTGTATTTGTGACACTGCATGCTGAAATCTAAGGAAATGGAGTTGGAGATGATGTAGGAAAATTTTGTTGGGGAAGAAAATGATCAGGAGGCAGAGGAAAATGATCCGAAAGGGGCAACATGGAGACTAGTAGCTTGGTGAAGCTGGATGGCATAGTCCTGCACCTTCCTGCTCCATTATCCTTTCTGATAATGAGCCGTCCTGATTGGCTCTTTTTAGAGCTACTTGTCAGGTCACATGGACCATGTTTCCCTGAACGCAGCTTTGACTGAAGTTGCCATAGTCTTAGGGGACCATAGGGGTGCCATCTTCAATAGAGAGAGATAAAAAGAGAGAGGACTGATGGTGGATTAACATGAGGAGCACCATTCCTCAGGCAGGGAGAAAAATCGAGAGCATTGTTCATGGTTACCTCACTTGGTGCAGGATTTCAATCCATTTGTTGTTATTTCTATGCACCACAAACCAGCCATCCAGCCACCTGAGATAACTAAAACTCTAGCATTGACTATATTGCCTAAAAGGGAAAGGGGTTTTAAAAAGGCATGAGTTCCCATTTTGTCTTTGTAAACGGTCAAACACCTGTTCCAGGTACAAGCTTGAAGTGGATTCTCCTTCTGCTTTACAAGAGTGGGGCACAGTTTCATAACGATAGTGTGGGCTACAATACTATCAAAATGGCATTCCACAGCACTATTGTGATCTGATCTCCAGGTATTCCAGGGGATTTATACCCTTTAATTATTGATAGAAACTGTGCCACTAGGGCTCCCAGCTTCCTGGAGGATGTTTGATTGGTCCATTTGTCCCAGTAGAAACCCCAACCTGAAGAGCTGCAAACAAGTCAGAGACCAGCAGCTCTCCATTACCAGCAGCACCACTGGGAAAAGTGGCTGTTGATGGTACTGCAGTGAAGCCCTCATCAGGAGATAACAATGTGTAGAGCTGGATGAACGCAACAGGCCAAGCAGCATCAGTGGAGCAGGAAAGCTGATGTTTCGGGCCTAGACCCTTCTTCAGAAATGGGGAAGGGGAAGGGGGTTCTGAAATAAATAGGGGGAGAGGGGGAGGCGGGTAGAAGATGGATAGAGGAGAAGATAGGTG